TGTGTGTGTGTGTGTGTGTGTGTGTGTGTGTGTGTGCGTGTGTGTATGTGCGTGTGTGTATGTGTGTGTGTGTGTGTGTGTGTGTGTGTGTGTGTGTGTGTGTATAAATATATCGCTGTTAAATTGTCTCAGATTTCACAGATCACTCGAGGTTATAATTATTAGGTTTACTTTCTTCCATCTGTACGTAACATTTTTCAAATATTCACATTTATTTGCGATATTTAAAAACGAAATCTGTACTCGTTATTGATAATGTCTGAAATAATCGTACGAAAAGCTAGACGTGAAGATTGTAAAACCATCCAAAAACTTTCAAAGGTATTTTTTGTTGATAACCGATAAAAATGTTAGACAACTTTTATGCATAAAAAATGTCATTTTACAGGAACTTATGAACTACGAAAAGCTGTCCGATAAACCAGAAATTGATGATAAAAGTGAGATTTGTGTGCCTTCATATTATGTTATGAAATATCTCTAAAACAATATTTTATGATAAAAATTATTTAGCCTTTGAAAGAGATGGTTTCGACGGACAACCTTTATATTTTTGTAACGTGGCAACATGTGATGAAAAGATCATTGGATACGCAATCTCTCATTACAATTATGCCACATGGTGCGGAAAAGGTATGTTGCTGCAAGATCTTTATGTGATACCGGATTTTCGAGGGAAATGTGTTGGCAGCAAGCTTCTAAAAGCCGTCGCGAAGGTATGTTCAGTTAGAATTGCATATGAAATATATACCTGATTATGAAATATTTGCAGGATGCAATTGAAAATGATTGTCATAAACTAGACTTTTTGGTTCTTGAGTGGAACCCAGCGCAAGAATTTTACAAAAAACATGGTGCCATTGATCTGTCATCTAAGGAACCGTGGCACCGTTACCGTATTTTAAAAAATAATTTGAAAAAATTGGCATCTGATTGTGAATAAATGTAATTAACTAACAACGATAATGATTATATTATATATACAAATATTTAATTTGTATCAAATGCACTTCAAAATTAAAATTAAATAATAATTTTTGCAATGGCTATAATTTTAAATTAATAATAAAATATTAATAAAAATAAAGACTGTTGAGTGCACAAAATTGATTTTTAACTCAATATACTTTCAAAAATTTTGCACCACAATTATTGTGCTGTGCTTTCTCTATTTTTTATTATTATTTTATTATTTCAAAAGTGAAAGCTCAATAAAAAATTTCTTGTATAAATTGTATTATAAAATGAGATTAAAAAATTATTTCTTTAATCTTAAGTATATACTGTATTAAATAATACACTATAATATATTTTTGTAATATTCGATGCATTCTCTCCAGCGTGTATCGCACCGTATAATTTTTTTTAATCAAATTGATTTTCAATTGTGCTCTTTTGGTATTTCTCCTTCCGATTTATCTTATCCATAGACTTTATAGATATAACAAGACGTGTCCTTGTCGGTACATCTCTCCAAGAGAAATTGAAAATAGATATGTTTCGCGCATGTTTGACATGTTATACATTGAATGTTTAATTTTATTTTATATATTTTTTTAATTACCTGCACTTTACATTTTTAAAGAGAATCTTATTTCTTTCTTTGCTGCAATATATTATTTAACATTTTTACAATAATATTAATGCATTATATGTTTAACTGACATGCGCAATGCAGACACTTGCGGACACTTTGAGAAAGAGAAGTAAAACCGGCGACACGCGATGCTTATTTTCCTGCTGGATCGCTAGCTGGATTAGAATTTTGCCATGCATCGTATTGACTGTGGTGCTATTAATGCCAGTATCGCAACCAATACAGTGGTAAAATTCTAATTCAGCAGAAAAATAAGCATGTGCCGCAAGCTTAAAATACGTCTCTCTCCAATACTCTCTTCCGGATATTGTTTTAAATGCAGAAACTATAGCAATTAATACTAGTTCACATCTGACGAAGTCTACGTATAGATCATACATGTATGTATACTTACACAAATACCAATCATTACATTATATGCATATATTTATTAGATTAGATCAGTTATCACAGATCATTCAAGGAAATATAATCGTCACGTTTATTTTCTTACATATTTTCGTACATTTATTGATATTTGACGCCAGAATTTATATTTGTTTTTAATAATGTCTGAAATAATCATACGAAAAGCTAAACGTGAAGATTGTGAAGCCATCAGAATGCTTATACAGGTAATTTTTGTTGATAACTGATAACGATTAGACAATATAAAGAATATTATTTTTCAGGAATTAGCAGACTACGAAAAAATGCCCGATGGACCAAAAATTGATTATAAAAGTGAGATTTATACAGTTTTATATTATAACAGTTATATATTTTATTATGTTATGAAATATTTTTAAAATAATATCTTGTGATAAAAAACTTGAAAAAACTTTTAGCCTTAGAAAGAGATGGCTTCGAGGGGCAATCTTTATATTTGTGTAACGTAGCAACATCTGATAAAAAGGTCATTGGATATACTTTGTCTTATTACACTTATTCCACATGGTGTGGAAAATCTATGTATCTGGAAGATATCTATGTAACGCCGGACTTTCGAGGAAAACATGTTGGCAACAAACTTCTAAAAGCTGTTGCAAAGGTACGTTTAGTTAGAGTAACATATGTGATATACCTAATAATAAAATATTCACAGGAAGCAATTGAGAATGATTGTCATAAACTAGACTTTGTGGTTCTTAAGTGGAATCCAGCACAAGAATTTTATAAAATATATGGAGCCAGTGATCTGACATCAAAGGAACAATGGCACTGTTATCGTTTCATTGAAGAAGATTTGAAAAAATTAGCATCTGATTATGAATAGCATGAAGATATTCTAATTATTGACAATGGCAATTATTAAAACAGGATGGCTATTAGAATTATGTTAAAATGATTGTCAAAACAGAGTAAGAAAATATAATGGTTTATTTTCAACGTAATCCTAATAGTCACCCTGCAGTATTATATATACATATACTTAATATGTATCAAACTCACTTCAAAATAAAATGTTCAAAAAAAATTTTGTTCCTGCTTTTCAAAATGCATGGATTACTATATTCTTTGTAATTAAACTCTTTGTATTTTTCATCTTTTCTCTTTCTCTCCAATATATCTAATTGTAAGTTATAACTTATATCAATTTTATATACTAATTTAAGTGTAAAAAATGTAACATTAGTGTAGCACAAAAAATGAACTCAGAAAGAAGCTTGAAAATAAATGTCTGACGTACCCGTGTTTTAAATGAAACTCGTTCACTGGCGCCTCTGTGTGCACAAATGTTCACGTTGAACTACGTAGCCACGGATATTTTCAGCGGATAATATGTCCTTTAATCTTGTTCTATGCTATTTACATTATTGCAACGTGCTGTTCTATCTATAACAAAAGATAATTACACACTATTATTATATATTCTAAAAATAATAATTAAATTCGGAATAATTTAAATCTAAGAAAGATATTTAGAAATATAAAAAGCACATACATATTTATATCATTTAAATTAAATGATATAATCAAAAAGTTGAGTGCATTTTATTCTTCTCTGTTAATTTTTTTTTTAATAGTTAACGCTTTTTAACTTTTTTATATTTTTTAGACTTAAATTATTTCAATTTTTAATTACTATTTTTATAATGCATTGTTAGGGTCTGAGCACAAGAATTGTAACACTTACTACTTAGGCTCGGTTGCACCAATGTTACTTTAATTTTAAGCTTAAAACTCTCTTTATCCCTGTCTTTTTTCGGTTTTAAAGCGAGATAGAAAGAGTTTTAAGTTTCGCTTAAAATCAAAGTAACATTAGTGCAACCGGATCTCATGCCTGTATTCAAACCTTTAAAGCTTCCTTAAATATAAGGCCTGACTATATATGAATACGAGTATTTGTACTTAAGGCTTCCTTAAATTTATCTTTAGATGCTCAGCAGCCAATGAAATAATTCGTAGAGTATCTGAAGATAAATTTAAGGAAGCCTTAAATATAAGGCTTGACTATGAATACGCATTATTTTCTGTTCTCTGTTCCCTGTTCTTTTTATTATCTGGAGCTCTTTACGCACATATTCTGTGGGCATATCATAAAATAGCAGAGAAACTTTAGAGAGGACGTGAGAGGCCTCTTTTCTAGCTGTAACTACAAAATACCACCGCGCATTATTATCCTCTGAAATAGTGGATGTAAACTACATAATAATATCCATTTTAATAAAATAGTATCTCTCCGAACGCACCAACTGTAAGAAATTTATTTGTTAAATTTTAAAACCTTTAAGATATTTCAATAATAATATGATAATGTAAGAAAATGCCAATGTGAGCAATACAAGTTATTCGTGTGTTATATCTATATATATTAAAAATTTAAATACAGACGCTTCAATCCTATAGTATTGGATCTTCTTTTGTGTAAAAATGTTGATAGTAATCCATAGAAATATAATGTGTTTAATCGTTAAGTCATCAAATCATTAAACGTTGTCAATAATTCAAATCTTCTATATCGTCTGTTACGCACAATATGTGTGCACATATTTTCATCAGAGAGAAACCTTATCATATATATCGTCTTCGACTAGAGGTCTCCACAGTCTCTCTCCTATCGATAACAGTACGCCATATTGATACGGGCAGAGATACATATTCGGTACAAGAAAACTATTTCATAATTGTTCACAATAAATTTAATCTTCTAGTGTTTACAGACGTGTTGTAAATTTATACAGTTGTTAGAATAACTGAAGGCACAATGATGCCACGCGTATGATATACTATTATATTTCGTCAATACAATAATATATATGATAATATGATTAACTGTCATTTTTATTATATCACATTTTGTATATGTGTATATATATAAAATAAATAAAGTGTGATACAATAACATGTTGAAAGATGCATAATTCGAATCATATTTTTGATTTTATATGAAGTAATGAGTAATATAAAATGCAGGAACTTATTTATTTATTATATAATTTTTTTTATTATATTATATAAATAATATATTATATAAATGTTATTTATAGATATTAAATGGACTTTTAACCACCACAAATTATTGCCAAAAAGTGCCTAACAAAGAACTCTTCTATTGGTTAACTATACCATTTAACAGGTATCCGAAAATTCATTATTATATTATTAAATTATTTGCTAATATACAACTTTTAATAATTATTTTGAGGGTTGACTATGAAAGAATTAAGTCGATTGGCCCAGATCGTGCATGTGCTGAGTGGCTCTTAAAGAATGGTGCCAGCGTCAGATGGAAAGGTTTCTCAGAATACTTAAAAGATTATGATAAGTTACAGTCAGATCAAACTCAATATTATATTCAAGCAATAGATGGTACAGACTCTGGAATAACACATGTAGGATTTCCATATTTGGGTTAGTGTCATATTAAATGTGCATGTGTATACATGATATACATGATAAATTATAATAATATTATTTGACAATGAGATATTTTAACTGAGAATTCTTTGATAATAACAATATAATTAATACGATATAATTTAGAATTAGATATTAATTTAAATTTTTCATTAAGAACAATGAATGTATTAATCAAATGTGTTATGTTAATTAATATTGTTATTAACAAAGATAATAGCAACCCAACAACACAAAGTCTAAAATTATAATAACGATATAAGACGTTTTTAAATCATCTTTTAGATACAGAAAACGTCTTATGACACTTTTTGTTGTTTGGGAAATTTCTTCTCTATTGTTAATTAAAAAAAATCAGTTGCATTCATAAATAAATTGTATATCATCATATTATTAGATAGGTAATATTTATAAAGGGTAATATTTATAGAAATTCAGTTGGTTGCAGATATATCGACGAGGTAAAACTCATACGTTGTCGTTATTTATATAACGCTGCCTTACCACTATTATCAGCAGTAAAGGATACCCTAACTATTCTTGAAATCAAAGAATGTAAGAGTATAACCGATCAAGGAGTGCGCAGTTTAAAAAATCTCAAGTAAGCATTTTATATTATTGGGTTGTCCGGAAAGTTCGTGCCGCAAAAGATTTAAATTTAATAAATGAAATTAAAAATTTAAATCTTCTGCGTTTCAATTTTCCTTCAAAATCGGCACGAACTTTCCGAACAATTCAATACTATACATATTTATATTTTTAAAAATATTTTAAAAAATATTTTTAATGTTTGTTAAATTGTAAAAATATATAACTCACATATTGAATTCTTTTTATCTTCTACAGAAATCTGAAGGCTTTGAAGATTACTGATATTCCATACCTGAAAGATAAAGCTTCACTTAGAAGAGAGCTTATAGAAGCTTTGCCAAATTGTACAATAGAATTGACATAAATGGAACATCAATGTTAGTTGCACATTTGTGTATAGTAAATGTTCAGATTTGTCATTTTTTTTTTAACGTATATAATACAAAATATATTAATTCAATATGTACTTTAATAAAATAATATATAAAAAGATAAATTAAGAATTGACTTTTTACTTTTAGGACATATTTGTTGTTGCTCCCATGTGTACCCTACTCCATTCTATTTATTATTTTAAATTAGTCTGTTCTTTTATCGCTGCATTGAAGTTTTCAAAAAACTAAAATTTTTCTATCTCTCGCTCAACTTCAAATATCTATTTATTATATATATCTATTTCACTGAGTACTACGAGTCGAGTGTATCTACACCAGTTCAGCTATATAAAGAACAGATCTGATGTTTCCAGAGTGGCAGTTATAATCGTACTTGAATTGGAAGCTCTCTGTGTAGTTTTCTAGTTTCGAATTACAACATAAATTCAGAAATGCCACAAGATATGAATGTTTTACGTTGTTATTCTTGCAAAATGTATCAAGTAAGTTTAAATTGGATATCATTAATAGTAGCATTTATTATAACCTATTCATTTCTTTCACATCTTTATAGGTACATATAGTGAAAAAAGCACGCAAATGGCAGTGCAAGTTGTGTAATGCAAAGCAATCCATACAGAAGGTACACGTTTCAAAATTCATTAATGATAACAAATAATACGATTTGTTATAATTTTTATTTTGATTAAATATTAAATCACACTGTTTTTATTTCTAGATATATTTCCAAGGATCTGGCAAAGATTGTCGTCTTCATGTTCAACATTTGAATTATTTGAAGACAAATGATGTATCATTTTCCTTATATCAAGAGAACAGCAATGATGATTATAATACTATCAACACTGTTCAAGAATTAGACATTGATAAACCTGTTGAAAGTGAGTGGACAAAATATCTAGACTCAAAGGAAGAATGTCTATCTAATGCACAAAATTCATCTTCTGATAGTATTCATGAGACTGAAGATATGATAACAAATGAAAAATGTAATGCTGTAAATAATAATTTATGTGATTCTGAAGATATTGTAAATGATTTTGTAAGTGAAAATATTGCTGATAAAATGGAAAAGACTACAAGTTCTACAAGTTATAATTGTAGAATTGAAGATAAATGCAATTTACAAGATAGAGATAAAAACAAAGATCATAATGATTTTGTTAACATTTTTGAAACTTATAGTGAATTAGATGATCCTATCGATATTTAATTTTCATGAATGATTAAATAATTTCTATGTAAATTAATAAAAGAATACTGCAGAAACCTACAGTATTTGAATTAAATATATCATTTTCCTGAAAAGTAACATTGTATTACAGAATTTAATACAAAAAATTCAAAAAAATATATCAAATTGCTTTTTTCACAAATTTTAATATATATTCTACAATTTCAATTAAATGCATAAATTATTTACCTACTTCTCATTATCTATATACATACACATGTATTTTTGGTAACTAAATAACGTTTTTTTAATTTATAATGTTTCCTATATAAAGAAAATAATACCGCAGAGACAAAATGTTTGTTCTTCTAAATTCTAGACTTAAATACATCGTTTCCTTTTGTTACATTTTTTTTCTAATAAAAATAAATGTAAATGACAGTTTAGTATATAATGTAAAGAAGAGAGGAAAGGTAGAATGCTAATTGAAAGATGTTATTACATACATTTTTTAATTTTTATATATCTAAAATAAATAATTTGAATTTGTAAACTATTACAATATCAATAAAAAACTCATATAATATACTATAAAGATAAGTAATTAAAAAAAAAACAATTATATAGCCGAAGACTGTACATGTTAGAATATATATATGAATTTATCATTTTATTTTATCTTTATTTCTTCCTAGTTATATATATGTCAGCATTCTACTTTTCCTCAATATATATTATGCGTTACTAATAATCATTTTACTAAAACCGCTGTGCTAAAATAATATGAGGACAAATACGATTATTTATCGTATTAGAAAAGAGTCAAAGTCCCAAATAAAAATTTTGTAATTACAGTAATTTTATGTTTTTGAACAATCTTAAAAATTCAACTAAAGCTTAGAGCTTATCATCTATTCTTGCTTTAGAATCAATATTATGATATACCAAGAATATCGATGCTTATAAATGTTTTGGCAGTGCATTACGTAAAAATATGTGTACATTTTGTCATATAAAGGTAATAAGGGAGTTAAAAAAAATGGCAGCATTTGATAAACATTTCTAATTGTTACACAAATAATACATTACAGAAAGATTGTAATTGGCAAGGGAAGATAAAGTTATTCTTTTCGTTGTGTGTTCAGTCTTCTATTACACAGCTGATTTCAGTAAAGATACTCTAATAAATACTTTTTATGTAATAAGAAAATGTATATTGACATTGGTTAATATCGACATGTTAACAGTGAGAAAAGTAATAATATTGTCAAATTCAATTTATTAATTTTTAAACAAATGCGATTAGTCGTGACTTATATTATAAAAATTTCAAGATATACTTAGACAAGTTGCTTGCACAATAAATTATTTTCTCACTAATTCTTCAAAAAATGAATAAATTATCATCAAAAGACATTTGCGAAATAGAACAAAATTACCTAACTACGTCTTTAATTATTTATAGTCCCAATTATATAAAACGTATATAAATCATATAAAAATTTCATATTTTATATATTTATAAATGTGCTCCACACGGTGCATATGACATTTCTACAATTAAATCTGATAGTAGCCATAAAATGTATTGAAAACATGCACAATGTGGATGACGAAGGTCTAATAAAATCGAGTTATTAATTTAAATATCTGCTAATATAAGCTCGGTCTCTTCATTATTTATTACTAAATAAATTAGATTACTAAATGCATTGCGAAATCAATATATATCTAAGGCAATTTGTCACGAAATCGTTGAAGCGTAAAAAAAAAGATAAATCAGTATTAATGTCTATAATTATGACGTCGGGGATTCACTGAATCTTGATGATGTCGCCAGCTAGTTTGCCAGCTTCTACTACGCCTATTCCAACTAAAACAAAATGATATTGATATTTACATTATCATATTTGATTCAATTATTTTTAATATTTAAAAATATCTCTATACTTACTTTTGTAACTTCTTTCGTCTTTTATTAGGTGGACTACCAAGTTCGCTTTCGCGTATAATTTGTAACGCCGAAGGTACGAACATATCTTCTGCTAAAACAATTTATAAGACTTTTATTATTTAACATATAAATAAATATTTTTTTACAAAACGTACCGAATGCATCATTATATTTTCTTTTTGAAATATATCGTTGATGTTGCTGAAGCTGCGGCATAGCTTCTCTAGCGTTACCAACTGTACAATCCCATGTACCTTTACAGCCCTTCAAGTGTTCCAATTGATCGTGCAGATAAGATTTTTCAGTGAGTGTCAAAGATGAAGCTCTATTCCATTGTTCAAATGGGTCTATGACGAAAAAATGTAAATCAATCATTTTTTCGTAAACTCTTGTTCCTTAAGATACCTTTCATACGTACCGAGTCTTAAATTATAATATGTTACTAATCCTGTGGTAAATTCGCAGTACAGAAAATCGTGCGTCTTGTTAATTGTACGTATGCACGAATATGTGTTATTATTAGCATTCATGCAAAAGCAAAATGGTCCCGCATTCCATAGAGGTGCGGTACGCCAGTGATCGTTATCGTGCTCGAAGCAATTCATTTTTTCCGTTAGACATTCCTTTTCCAGCTTTGCCTTCTTTCTGAGTTTTCGCTCTTTCTTCTTTAAACGCTCCTCCTTCAATCTTCGTCTTTCTTCCCTAGCAATCTCTTTCTCATCTTTTTTTGTATCAGGCTCGCAATAACATTTATGTCGTGCTTCTAATGGAGTGTTTAGCATTGGTGGCAGACGATCGTTGTTATTAATTAAACCTAAAGTAAAAATTATGTAATAAAAAAATATCTTTAAATATCCTTGGATTAAAATTAATCAAGATTCACACCTTGTTTGTGTTTTCTGTCAGGAGATTCAAGAATAGTAACGTCGATTCTCGCTGGTCCAAGAATACCTGATGTCCTATTCTTTTGTACCTTAGGATATCTCTTCATTGACGGTGTAGTCGATAATATAATGGATGTATTTCGAGGTCGACTGAAACTTTTATCGATAGCCGGATTAGTTTTTGGCACCTCCGTCATATGTATCGAAGTCATTGTTATAGTCGATCCAGATTCAGTAATTGTGATCGATTCCGTAGTATGATCTCCGCTGGAATCGTTATTTCTCCTAAATACTTCTGAATAATGAGTTCCTTGCCTCGCAATGCTTGATTCTGTAATCGTAGTAGCAGGAACAGTCATAAATTTATGATTGTGTTTCTCGCGAATAGGATTTTGCGTAGACAATGTCACATCGCTAACATATGTTGCATTCGCGCGTGGGATATCATCGTGTACACTATTTGTAAATAGCGTATTGTTTCTACGATGATGATGCGTTTTTCTACGCCTTTGCGGTTTATCCTCTTCGATTTCTGTTCTGTTCGTAGGTGTCTCCTTAATCTTCTGACGACGAGGTTGTTTCTTCGGTTTAACTGTCGTTAGAATCATTGTCGTTGATGTTTCAGTCTCTGTTGTAGTTTCGATAGAATTATATTTGTCGGGCTTCTCTTCTGTTGTTGACGATTTTTCATCGCTCGGAATAGTATTAATCTTCGTAACAGACTCCGTAGTCGTGTTTGTGATAAGATCTGCAGTGGTATGAGCAATTTTATCGTGCTTTTTATGATGGCGGCTTACATGTCCCTTTGGAGAATGATGGTGGGTTTTGTGCGAACTGCGAGTTTCTTCTGCATCAGCAAGCTTCTCCTCATTATCCAAAAATTGTGGTCGTTTGATCATTAAGTGCCTGCGAATCTCCTGCAAATACATAGACGTCATAAAACTTAATTAAAAGATCAATATACATTATACATATCATATTATATTGTATTAATACAATATTTATACAATTTATATATTTATACAATTTACTTTCAACGTTTCCAATTGCATTCGCATCTCTCGGATTTGGTGCTCGATCTCTCGTCTGGATATTCGCCATTCGTTAGGATCTTGATATATAGCTTCGGTACAATTTACACCCCCTTCTGGTAAAACCAAACATTTTGGCGACAGTGATTTTCCTACTTCGGATGATAAGTGACGAACTTGAGTTTGCTAAAATAATAAATTGCTTATATTCAATAATAATATATATAAAATTATATTATGATCCCAACATTTCATCAAATGTTACCTTCAAGTCATCTAGTTCTTCTTCAATGCTTTCCATAATCTTTGTGACATGTTCTATAGTATCCTTCTTCATCACGTTTCTCCGTACTCTCCGATGCCTTTTTATTACATCATTCAAGTTTAATCGACCATTAACAATCTTATCTAAAGAAGGATCAAAATCATTTATCGAGTAGCCATAATCCAAGTAGTCGACAATGTATTTGTTTAATTCGTCAGTTTCATCGGAGTTCTCAATTCTCATATTACTGCCGGTTCTGAAATACATGTTATACAGAGTTTCACAATAAAAAGCTCTTCCGAATTCTGCGATATTTAAAATTATTTTCGTACCTATTAAAGTTTTTCTTATATTCTTCGTTTACTTCTCGCGCCAGCATATCAATCTCCTGCATCATATCATCATCATCTTCCTCGTCAATCGCGCGTCTGTCTCTATCATCCAAGTCAATGTCATTATCAGATTCTTCATTATTTTCCTCGGCTGATATGATATCTCGCTTGCCTATGTCAAATTATTTTTCATTCATTTTAATTCAAATTTAATTCATATCAAAAGGTTAAAGTGAAGCCTTTGAGAGCCAATACAAATTGTAATTATAATTTATTGATTTACTCAGAGCTTTTATTTGAATTATTTGTTTAATTCATTTCATAACAATTATTTCAATAATTTAAGAGAATAATTTGTAAATTTCTAGGATAAAAAGTCAAGCTTAAATTTATTGGGAAATCTTTATTATTGAAGCTTTTATTTTTTTCTTTGATAGATATGAAAATGCAGAACAATAATAACATTAAGATCACCTCGTTTGATGAAGAATCCCGCTGTATCATCATAAGGATCCACAGGCCGGCGGTCCTTCGTGAAACCATATCTCTGTCCATCGTAATCGTTAGACTCGA